GTTTAAATAAACAAATAAATAAAATTAAAAACGCGTTAGAAGCAGACACCATCTAGTGTCTTGACAACCTGAACATCGCAGCTCAGTCATCTGATGCAACCGTACAAGTACCATGAATCCTGGTGGACTAAAAAGGATATGGGACAGTTCTCGATTTCGTATAATACCCTTGAGCAGGGGCTATTCGCATCTTTGTGTCATTCCAATTTTAGCACGTCTAACGCTGAAGCAAACTTCGATTTACTACTCTGCTTGTTTTATCGTATGATTAATGGAATGGAGTAATGAAACTACTTATGGTCAATTATCAGACCTATCACTGAGATAACTAGAGGTTTCGGTAATCTGGGGTCGATTTATTGCATGTAAAAATACAACAACCGAAGTTTATGTCAATGAATGACTTTATCTTCGTGTCCGGTACTTAATCTAATACTATATATTTCATCTATCAACTGTCCAGGGAAAATCTCCGCATTCCTAAATTACCGATCAGAACACGTGAAAGATTGATCAAGAACGTCGTGAATCTTGTATTACTGTAAATTTCAGACATGAAAATCTACTTATTTCTAAACATAAATTGTAAAACCACGAGACAATACAATAATTTCTCATAGATACATGAGTCAAAATTTTGTAGTTCGAAACCCTGTAACAGATATATAATGAGTTACCTGAAATTTATGAACGATATAAAATATATCAGAATTAAATAAGTCCGATAGAAAACTTGCAGTATATGCAATAAAATCCCATAAACCATTTGTTTCGTTAATACAAATACGAAATATACAAAACCATTCATCTAAATTAGTTTTCCAAGTCTTACAACTCTCCTCTAGCTCTACTGCCTAAAACATTGGAGAGTTATTCCAACTTAATAGGAGGTACTTCAACAATATATACCCATTAACCAATCAAAGAAAAACTTAAAACTATAAGGTTTTACATCAAAGGTTTAACCTTTAATTCACTGTGTTGAAATCTAATTATTCATATTTCTAATTTCAATCAATTCTCAAGATTACGTGGTCATTATTGACTGTGATGGGTGATACATGATACCTGCAATATCTGTGTTTGACATTATTTTGTAAATCCAAGGAGTCTCACACTAAGAAGAAATAACTTTTCAGAGCTTCATGGTATTCAGTGATTGTATAATCAACTTCATTCTTTTATGAACAATTTCCATTATTGGCCTTTACTAACAGTAACAATAGTTAATGGATTTTCTGTCAAAATTACAAACATATGATTCTGATATTAGAGACATTAAAAGAATAGATAGTTTTTTGAATACTTTGTGTGACTTCTCTGGAAAAAAACTTGCACCAAATTGCCGAGCAAAACGTTGAATTTACTAAAAGTTCAATCGGTGAGATTTTTACAGACATTATTTTTCTCCTTAATCTCCTGCATTAACTAGGTCCAAATCCCGTGAGGTGGAGTCATGGATGCGCACTGCTGAGGAGTCCCACAATAAGATGTAGGGGCCGTCCAGTGCTTTTAGGTTTTCCATGATGGTCTAACATCAGTCGATTCATGATCTCAACTATTGTAATATAAAACTGTTCGTTCATATTTAAGCGAAGGTTCTTAAAGAAAAATATTTTCATTACGTTGTTTTTCAGTTTTACGATTAAACGGTTAGTTTAATAACGGAAATGTTGTATTTTTACTTACATAAATTGTACTACATTTAACAGTTGATTAAATTGAGCTTACTTTACAACGAAATTTCTTCTGATCTTCTCTTTTGTTTTTTTCTTTATGAATCTAACAATAATTGTCTTCAGAATAAATTTCCAAACAAAATACTTGGCAATAGTTAGTATGTTTTTTGTATAGTACACTTGGTATTTAGCTATCAGTGGAATGAAGGACTAATATTTTCACTTATTTTGAACTCTATAGCTGTAGGTACCTAGATGAGACTATAATCTAGGATCTTTCACACAAAATGTTAACGTATTATCCACTGAGATAATAAGTTGAAAAAAGTAGGAGTTTTTCAACAGATACGAAAGTATTAGTAAGGGTTTTTAATGTCTTACTGTTGATAGTCATGACTGTAATTAGCCAGTCTTAGTAGCAATATATGCACTCTCGCTATTGTTCATTTTTTATTCATAATATTACATCAAAGTTAGTTGTAGAGTATTCTAGAGTTTGGCTCCAACCATAAGAACAGATGTAGCTAGAGTGGGATTCGGGATACAATTTTGTCCTATTCGTGACTCATCATCTGGATGTACACAAATCCCAGAGTTGATATCCGCTACGATCTGAAAGTAGATCCAACTGGGACAAAGCATGTGTCCTCGATTCCATTGCTAACCACATTCCGTCTGTTTTAGGTTAGTTTGTATCATAGTGGCTATATCGATATGATCCACATAGGCTGTACACATCCTAGTTAAGACTGACCGAATTCCAGTCAAATTATCAATAACGGAGTAATCCAAATTTTTAGAAATTACAGATGATATCGTAAAGTTCTAGTAAGTGATGAATGGCAAAATTAATAAGATTGATCCTGAACAAAATAAATACCACGGGATACATGGATATGGCTTGATGTTGAATTCAAAAATCGAAGTCACATAAATTTGCACATGGTTTCTGGAAGATCAAGGGATATATATATATATATATATATATATATATATATATATATATATATATATATATATATATATATATATATATATATATATTCAAAATATTGGTTGGGTTATCATTTCATTATATTTCTCGATAATTGCAAGAGATCCTAGAATATTTCTCTGACTTCATGGATTTCATTCATATAATCAATGCTCCTATAGTTTGACAACATTCACTTTTTACTTGTTTTATAGCTGACCTCACACTTGTGAAGTTTATGAAAGATATTGAAACAATATTTGTTATAAATCTGCTTGGGGAGGAAAGGGGATGTAAAACTACAGTTTTGTTCCAATACATTACCAGAGCATTTTATTTAAATTTTCTTTAATCTCAAGTACTTTGGATAAATAATTGACCGATCTTTGAAAAACGTGGGACCAAAATGAGTATCATGTTTAAATGTGTATAAATGAGAGAGTCAGAGTTTCTTACAACACAACCATTGCAAAAATATACATGAGCGGATTTCATATTGAACGAAGATAAAGTTAGCAACAATTTACAAACTTGGTTTAGCAAAAGTAATTTGAGAAAATGTTTGCTCTACGTCTACATGGCTTACATTACCTCGGATCCTACATTTATCAAACGACCAGAGATACAATGCAGGCAAGTATTGTGAGCGAAAGTCAATTACCACAAAACCAGGGTCAAAGAGGGCTTTCAATTGATTACCATCAACTATCCGATTTCAAAACATAAGGTCATTTAACTAAAAGAAACCAATATATGGATAAACTAGTTGATGATAACTGAAAACTAGGAATTTTGTGTTAGTCGACAAGTAAAGGTTGTGACAAGTTGCCTTACTCATTACTTGTTTAGAATATTTTTTCATGGGATCCTATATTCAGTAAGCCTTTATTGACAATTCATGAATCAATAACGCTCACCTGACTACCTGTCATAACCCACTACTTAGTTATTTAACTGTCATGTGCAGAGGACTCTTGATGTTTGTAACACACTAGGATTTCATTGTAAACAGAATAACATTTTTAGACGGGGCATATACTTCCACAACGGTTAGTTAGCATAATTAGGTCATCTGAAATTGTAGTGATGGTGTATCAGATTTTTCAATTTAGGTGCATTTCCAATTGGTCTCTACTTGGTAGAAACCTAGTGATTTTTGGGAACGAATTCTCTGATTTCTGAATCAAAGTAATCGATTAGAAACTAAGACATTGGTGATAACTAGTACATCGCTTCTCCACACTAAGTAGGTAGTTTAAGATTATTCAGCCTCAGATTAAACTGAAATTCCACCAAGCCTTCTGACAAGATTACTATCGGGAAATTTCCCTCGTCCCATATATGAAGTTCATTTCACACTAAGGCAGTATCTATGGTCTCGACTTGTAACATGGAATTTAGGTTCCTAGAGGATAACTAGATCAAGTTATGATTGAACCATGACTGATCTCAAATTAAAACGGATGTAGTTGGAAATCCCAATGTCCAAGCCATAAATTCCTACATTACACTCAAGATTCCATTTTGGGGACCTGTGTGTATCAGTACATGATTCGTAATTTCTTCTATAAGATGCAAGCATGGGGTAGCATTACTATCTCCACACCTTACACGTCACCGTCCATGATATGCAATATGTTAATACACGTTCCTACCTTAGCTTTATTTTTCAATGTAAAGACAAATCATGAAAGATTATTACATCCCCAAGATTCTTCATCTTTCAATTTATATAACATCTTAGGAGTTTTATTCAATGGAATATTCCCATTAATCTTGTTTTCAGTTTATATTTCCTCATCTCTCTTAAATTGGTACACCAGAATTGTATACAACGACGTTTTGAACAACACAATCATAATTATTCATTAAGCCAAACTGTTTATACATATCATCAGAGGAGTGACTTTATTCTAAGCCATAATGGCAGCTTTGTTTATCTATAAAACCAGTTTTTCCAAACACAATATAATCGAGTTAATACCGGAATAGGTAATACGTGTTCAAGGCATATGTAGTCTAAGATACATTTGATTCACTTTGGATTTTTTGATAAACAAACATGTAATATTGACGAATTAGAAATCAATGGAAGGCTTATACGATTTAAGTTAGGGGAGAAAAATTTGAACATTAGAAGTACAAAGACATATCCTAACAAATACATTGGCCCATGAACCAATCGAAATATTTGTCCAGAAAGACAACTTATTAGATTAACCTATCACAAGATGAATTTTGTAAATAATTCGTTTATTTAGCCTAACTTGATGTTTATTGGCTAATCGTAGACCGGTCGATACTCTCTGCCTTGAAGTAAAATACTGAAGTTGAATTAGTGTTTTAATGCCTCAGTCTCATGGTCCGATTCGTCGGGTCTGTATTCACCTTGTGCCCGTCAATTTTCAGGCCGCCCGCTCCTGTCGACCGCCTTGTGCCGAGCTGTCACGCGCCAAGGTAACAAAGTAAGCATTTTGACTTTGTGCTGGCCTTGTGTTTATTGACGAGTTTTTAAGTCTCGTGCTTATATTGCGGCACAAGAGACTTAGGCCATTGTTTTTGATTTATATTGGATATTTTGTATTTTTGCAATTTACAATCAATGTATGCGAAAAGAATATTCATATGTACTGGATATGCTAGTTTAATTTTCAAATTTATCATGGTTTGGATGGTTATGTATTCCATGTATATATCTGCTTAACTATAATCCGTATATTTTCACTCAACTGATTGAGTTTCGGAATATGTATTGTATGTGATTTCAAAACAAGATTTATTCTACCTACCAATTGATGCGGAAAGTATATGTAAACGACTCGTCGATGTAAAAATCAGTGTCCCTACAAAATGCCGGTGTAGCGTAATGTTCGCGAAATTTTCTTACATAATCATGGATACTGTACGCCACAGCTCACTTACATCACAATTTTACAGATAAACAATTTGTGGCTATGGAATGTTAGTTTATATTTTGTGCGAAGATATCATGTGACCTCTGTTGATACTATAATCCGTGTATGCAGTATGCATCTCACGCAGCTGTTTGTATCCAAGAGAATATATGATGAAGTTTTTGAAATTCGGGGAATTATTCAAATTTGGAAATCCTACCTTGTTTTTTAACTGTGACTGCTTCCCATTGAACATTTGATTTGTCCTACTCATTAATTGATTGAAAATATAGATAGTGAAATAAACTTCATTTGCTACATAGTGTCCTATTAATTGCTAACACCACAACAATATTGTGTTAGCCGTCATGTGCCATATATTTTAGTAAATCGCTTATTTAATTGTTGGTGACCTTCAATCAATGCATTCCTATCCGTATGCTTTTCAAGTAATGCAACTTACTTAGGCCCGTTGTCGGCTATTTTCTTAGTTCACCAGGGTTTTTTTTAGAGTCAAGTAAGAGTCGGGTCTAGTCAATTACTGAACGCCACAGTACACTTGCTTGAACAAAGGGTCTAAAAACAGGATTATAGTCCATACAGTAATCTCGTTCGCGTTCACCTAGATATACTGGCGACTATGATTAAATGTTCTACTCTAATGTACCAAGTTGGTGTTTGCCAGTTAGTTTTGAAGCTAAAAATGGCGTAATTAATTTTTGTATGAGTTATCTCATATGTAATCCTTTTTACTACATTTTGTCTTTGCGTTCTTGGTTTTTTATTAACTGGCAGTTTCGTTTGCACTTCGAAAGCAACAAGTGTCTGACTTTGTACATTTAGCTACCTTGCCTTACAGGTATTCAGCTCCTGCCTGAATTCATACTCTTTACGTGTACTTATTCCATTTTTTGGTGTAAAATAAATCAACTTTGACCCAAGAACCAGTAGGTGCTTCACATTTTATTGAACGATTGAGGCATATGGATTTAGAACGGTTTCTATTAGATTTCCCACTTTTCTGGTAGCTTTTGAATAATATATGACAATGTAAGCTGTCCTTGTAGGATTATCTTACATTTGACAATCATCAAACATGCCACACAATGTTTTAGTTACAGGTTAAATTAGCAGTGCTACATAGTTTCCCAAATTGTTAAACCTTGTGTGAATGATTACTTGGGCAAGTGTGAAGATGTGTCGTGGTTCGTAAAGTTATGTTATAGTTCGTTGGTTGTCAGGGAAGTAAGTGCTCCATATGTCGGCTGTTACCTGCAGTGGCTAGTTATTAACATAATGGATATTGAAGCAGTGGATCGAAAAATAGTTTTACTCCGGTTTGTGGATCCAAATAATATTACTGACCCTCACACTACCCATTCCTGAAAACGGGTAACGCTAGCCACATGGTCACTGACGCACTGCAGTTGTTAAATTTACGACCAATCATGTGGATGGGAAATATCACAATTTGGTTATTTAATCTGAATAAGCTCGGAAACACTAATGCCCACTATTCTCTTGACATGTGTGTCAGATCAAACAAATAATTCTCGGAAAAACTTTCCAATAAAGATGAATGAGAATATTATCCAGTTGTTAAGACACTGAAGATATCCATGTTTCATCTTACAGAACATGATTTTTTTCCCACAATGTAAATTTTGATATACCAGACAGTTGATGAGCTTATTTTAATTAAGAATAAAAATACTGTTACAACTCAGTCATTCAAAGGAAGAATAACGCATTTGAGGAATCTTACTCTACACACTATACAGCATAGGATGCAATACTGACTATTCGTCTAAGATGCAAACAATAGGTTGGAAATCGCATTTCACAACTGGTTATATCTTTATTTAAAGAATAGAGAGACGGTCAATATCTCATTCTGTTGTTCTGGACTACATTGCATGTCGGTCTTTTTAGCATGGCATAAGGCGTAAGTGATGAAACAATGCTTGCGAAGTGGGACTCAGGTGTGGCCCAAAGCACTTAGTTCTCAAATTAATATGCTAGTTTATTGATGTGTTATAACGAGAACGGGTGGTTTACATCCATACGGTTCGTATTTTTGTAATCAGGTGACATAACACATCGTCTTTTGCGATGTGTAGATAGTTGGAGTATACCTAAATTGTAGTACAGTACGGTAAACTACTAATTAGATTTAATACTTTAGTAATGTCTGCTTCCGTCCAGAAATTACGACACAGTGCTGGTTGCCGATCAGACTACTAGTTTCGCGTATTTTTAGAATCATGAGTGTCACAGGTTCTCTTTTTCTGTACATTAGCTCCAAAAATTAAGTCTTGTGTTGCGGCCAAACTAAAATGTGGCATCAGTGCTTTAAGTGACTAACTTCTGGTCTGAGCGATATTGGTAGATGCAGACTACTTTGTTGGGGTCCGCGCGACTATCGTGACCAATGGTTGGAGACTGGGTGACATGGCTCAGAATCGATCACAATAGCGTAGGTGTATACACTCTCTGTCTTCCCTTAAACCATGAGATTAAAATTCTTTGTGTCTTTCTTTCTACGAGCTAATTTTTTCTGCCTGTATTATATGCTTATACACAATCTTTCTTTTATATATTATTATCGTTGAAGTAACTACTTCCATGAATTCGGTGTTGATCTTGTTGTGCTAATGAGGTGTGGCAACTTGGACTAATACATATACGTGCCTGGTCCTACGTTGTAACCGACTGACTAACATCACGTAAATCTTTGCAACTGTACACACAATCGTGTTATCATAGCAGTTGTTTTACTATTAATTTGAATCTGAATTTCAAATAATACGTGTAAATACTTGTCCACAAACGTAAGTTAACCTTAAATAAACAAACACGTGAATCATATCCCAAGTCAAGATTTAGTGCGACTCAATGTTGCATTGTTATCGAGTTCATTCGAGCTGTTGTCAGCCTGAAAGTAAATTTTTGACCTAAAGATTATAATTAGCTGTCGACAAAACGAAACAGCCACCAAAATAAACTTCGCCAATGTACCTTATGTTGGGAATTAAAAGTGTTTCCGGACACCATTCTCCATGAATTTAGTTTAGTATGTGGTATTGCTAAAATTATCCCAAATTATCTCTTTCTTGCAGGCTTTTAAGTATATTTAACAATGATCTTACATCTTACATGAAGTCCGATGGCAAATAGTTCTCGTATCTCTGCTATAAATCATATTTTGGGTATTTGTCCCCTTTATAGTCTATACTTTCTGAAGCTGTTTGCTAGTTGTATTTTGTAGATACCCTCAAACAATCTTTCACGCTTTAACATTATATTTTGGCAGTGTGAAGGTGAGGTTTTGTTTTCGGCTGGTTGTGCTTGGGCTTCAGCGTCGTTAAATATGAGTATATGTAACTGGGATATCGTTGACGTTAATTAATCAATAGCTTAATTCATGTATATAATTCTCAACGTTAATAAATTACTGAGTCCTTTATTCTATTTCGAACAGTTCTCAGTTTTAAACTTCCACACGTTGCTCTTCACAATTGAGAACTATAAACTATTTAACCCACTCGTACCCCATTAAACTATGGTCATTTATGATGTCTTGAGTGCTAACCAGTGACTGGTACCGAGTCGTTTTTTACGTTCTTAAGTGATGCTGAATTCCTTGAATAGACGCTATTCATAAATTTACGGCGATGCATATTTGCTAATGAGTTTATTCGTGTTTGGTAGGCTCTTCGACAATCATTCCATCTTTTAGATCTTATTTCAAAAAGAAGTCAATTCAGTGATGCAATTCAGCAGTATCCAACTTTTGTTTAGCCACTTGTCAGATGGTTTTTTCCGGCTCAACTGCTAAATCCACTTGTTAAAAATTTTCATTAGTGCTGTACTTGTTTTCATAACTAATTTCTCAGTCATGGGTTAACACTGTTCGGAATGTTATATGATGACACATTAAAGTGGATTCTATTTTCATAAAGGTAGGGATAAGAGTAAATGAATAAGCTATTGTCAAATTTTCCAATTATATACAACATTTCGAATGGGTTGCTGGCTTATGATTCCATTATTTTTGAATATATAATTAAGAGCAGAAGGACTGTGAACATTCTTATCAACTTTGGACGGATAATCAATAGTTGTCTCGTCGGCGATCTTGAGTTGTCACAAAATGACTATGGAGTTCGAAGATCACTAAATGAGTCGTTACATGACTACTGGATTGTATCGTTATTACCTGTTTGTTCACTGAGCAGTAATCTGCTCTGCTTTGCTCTACGGCTGTGAAATATGCCCAATTAAGGTTGAAGACATACCTAGTATATGCTCATCGGTGTCTTTGAAGCATATCGTCGAAAAGCCGAGTAGGAAACGTTATGGTAACATCTAGGGAGGTGATAAGTCTATTGATAGCACTGCTGATCTTCACCAGTCGAGGTGGTTGTGGTTGCTTCATGTCTACTCATCTGTCGCTTACTTAGACGTGGTAGCATACAAGTGGGTAGAAACTGGTTAGGTGTAACAATATTACATCATGTGCAGGGAGTCTTCTTTTAAGAAATTCAAAGCAATTAGTCCCTTTGATAAATTTCGATAGTGTAATAAGAAGACGAAGATTATCAGAACTATGTGATAATCTTCGTCTTCTTATTACACTATCGAAATATAACATCAGTTTATGAAGTCGTTGTTTGTTGAATTCAACTGTGGTTTCAACTTGAATTCACTGATGTATTATCAACTACCTTATTTAATGGTAACTGGAAATATGAAGTTTAGCAAAGTCATCTCACTATAGCGAGTTTATATTATTTCGCTTGTTTCTAACATCCTGCGATGTAAATGACAAATTAATGATCTTGCCAAATAGTTCTTTGCTATATAATCGTTGATAACCAAACACCTATCCATTGCTTTAAAGACTCGTAAATAAGTAACTGATCTCGGGAATTATTTTTACACCTTGCAGTGATTCATACTTATAATTGGACTTAGAAAACACATACATATAAACCCAGTAAGAACTAGAGTTGTATTCGGAAGTCCAACTAATTGGAAAGGCAATTAATACAATCTATAAAATGTACACCAATATATGTACAACCAGTATTAATTATAGCAATATGTATTAAAATAGATGATATGATAACATTCAATGTTTCTGATTTTTCGTAGTCTTAACATGTTCAAACTGGTTTCGTAATTTTATCATGATTTTATCTTAGTAATTAGTTAGTTAGCCTACAATTATTTACTGCTAAATCAACTTAAATGTTTTATTGACACCAATTATGAACATCTATAACTACATGGTGTATACCAGTTCGGTATTGTGATGAACTGCGAAATCATAGTATTTACTTTTCAGTATACAGACTTTTTAAGTCATTACTTGGTATTTGTGATATTTATAATATATATTTGAACTGAAGTGAAATCTTGAAAAAGCGATTCGGAAAGAAGTTTTACCTCTAAGCTTTATTATGACAGAGTTAAAACATTTAACATCTCTACAATTTCATCAGTAAACTGTTGTATAATCTGAAAGGCATCTGCACTATTTAAGTTTAAGTCATATTTCAATTGGTTGTAAAGCTGCGGAAATGTATTTGTATCAAACACACATAACAGTGTAATTAGATTTAGTATTTGGTGTGTTCAATCATTTGGATTGACTTAGAACTAACTCTAACACTGAATACACATTATTAAATTTCATGATAATACACATTGATTCATTTAAAATTCATCATGATTGGGATGTGTAAAGAAATCAATATCGAAGTATTGGAAATAGAGAGGAAGCAAGTATAAGTAAAGTAGTAAGCTTGTGTAACAGTATAAAAATGAAGTGCCAAGATCTTTTATCCATGGCTAAGTAATCATCAACCTGTTTCCCTATATGTATTATTAAAGTATTTGTGTACAACATTGAATAGCCGGTTTAAATCTTGGTTCCTGTCGTTCGATCAACTTGGATGATATCACCAGACTTCAGACAAAGTATTTGTAGCCCAGAGTTAGATACACAGATGACTCTAATTCTACTGATTAAGCGTTCGCCATGTGATCTCAATTTCTAGGGTTCGCTCCTTGATCTGGTTGCTGTGGTTGAGAAGTATGTATATTGAATCGATTTGATCAATTATTCTTCAAGTATTGTGTGTAATATTTAATTTGTTTTATGTCATTCATGCTTTTTTAATTTTCATATCAGTTTTGTGCATCGAAATGGATATAAGTTTGTCAGATAATATAATGACGTCAGAATTAGATGATCAACTAGTCAGCATTTCTAATCATCATTCTCATTCCAACAGTACTGTATCTACACATATCAGTAATTGCAATGATTTCACCGGAACAACATATTTTACCACTAATGTTTTAGGTAATGTTATCACACACAACTTACAACATGTAGCTAATTTACAAAGTGATTGTAATAATGGTGTTTTACTCGATGAGCAAGATGTTGATCACAATATTGGCGTCGGTAGTGATAATGATGTTGTTGGTGACGACAATGACGATAATTTATTTGACGACTTATCCGCTGCAATCGAGGCAATCAATGAAGCGAATCGTTTAAACTCTGCGTGTGATAATGATATTGATGAAATTGATGGAGTTTGCTGTGATGATTATGAGAGTGGAGTTGTGGTCTCCAATGTTATGTCATCATCGTCAGCAGTACAACAGTTACAATCACTGAGAAATAATGTCCCAGCTATCACAACTTTCCACTCAATATCGTCTTCATCATCACCATGCCATTTTGTGACACATCCATTATTTGCAAGTATTCCTATCACCACTACAACCGCAATTGGTACTGCCACTACAAATCAATTGACTTTGTTTAAATGTGATACTGCCGATCAAAAAGTTGAAGAGGATCAATATATACATGAAAATGAAAATCTGGTTGAAAAGCCAGATCCAACTGAGTTGGAATCTAATAATTGTATAAGTCATATACCGTCGTTAATGACAGCTTCATCATCACGTTCCATAAGTTCAGTTCAATCAAGTTGGCGTTTATTATTACGTCCAATATTTGAGAAAGCTTTAATCGAACGGTTATGGACTAGTGGAGAATTGGGGTCCTCAAATCCACACTCTTTATTATTATCAATGTGGTTTTATATTTCACGTCATTTCGGTATTGGATGTCGTACAGATCATGCTAAACTTGCATATGGCAATATCGTAATAGGCGTGAATTCAACAACTGGTGAACGTCATTTGCAGTTTACTAGGTAAGTGTAGTAATATAAACACAAACATCTTTATATATAAGTGGAGCGTAATGAAGCTATATCAAATGGCATTATTGTCATAAGTTTACATATTTTTTTAGGACTGAGTAGTGAACATTCAGTGGGATGTACTGTTATTTATTCCCAGTATTCTCTTTATTTGAATTACTGATTTGTAAATACTGAAATAACTGGGAAGGCTATACTTATAATTTGTTCAAAGGACTGATCTTCAGATGTCAACATGAAAGATTTCAGAGAACAGTACCATTAGTCAATTGGCTGAATACACGATTGTACACCGTTTGGTTGATAATTGATTAAGCAAGGATGAGGGTTTAAAAATAGTCATTTTTTAAACCTTGTATTCTCGATTATGAGATAATTTTCGATAACATTACGTCCATACGTTCCTGTTACTTCGTTCAACGGTCGTATTACCAGGTAAACTACATCATGTTAATAATCTTAATCTTAGATACGACTAGGGATTTACAATTATATCCTCTATCTCAAGATGGCTTGGACCTCTATATACACTGATAAAAACTTTTAGATAAGAGAAACGCATATCATCGTTGATAATCACATTGAAGATCGTTTTTATTTCAGTAAAAGAAATCCAATGAGTCATTAAATAAGACGAAGAAAATTCTCTTTTCGACGACATCATTTTATTAGAGCTGCACACCCGTGTTTATAGTTATTTTTACATGTAGTGGTCTATTAAAATAGCGATCTATTGCGTGATCAATTAAGGTACTAAAAGTCGATCGAAATTTGATGCTACTTAATAGTCCATGGGACATATGAAACGAGATATGGAAGATTATCCATGTGACGATTAAAAAGAAAGTAAAATTAGGAACAAAGGTATATCAAAATGAAATGTATAACAGGGATATAAGAGATAATTGTCCACTTGAAGAATATAAGAAGATGAAGAGAAAACAAACATGTGTCAAGAAATAACTTACGAAATGCTAAGGTATGTTAGAACCATGGTAAACTAAGAGGTTAGACTTACCGGTTCTGAACACAAACATTTGGCTTAAGCCGATAGATCACCAAAGTTTCTATTTTGCACAAACTTCTTATCTAACTTCTTTTAGAACTAGTTCGTCTTACATAGTGAATGATGTTGAGTGATGATTGTGGTGGAGATAAATGACAAAAATTAACTAAATGTTCAACAATCGAGCTATTAAATTCACCTTTCGATAATCATGCTGGATGTTGCTCGAAAATACGTTTAAAAAGAGCACGCTTTATAAGAACGGCTATTATAGCAAACCCCACAAGAGCAAATTAAAAGATAGATATACATTTTTGTGGTCTAAAGTGGTGGTTTATTCTTGTCACATCGTTGTGTCTGGTATCCGCTGTAGAATACAATTCGTAGTTCAGTTGGATGAAAGGTCTTATTCAAGGATTCGGATAATCGATTTCGGAAAGAGCGTAATTTTTTTCTGTTCATTTTGTTAGTTTCATCTCACTCTTTGAATATCGTATATGGAAACTTAGTTAAACACATTATATGTACTTAATCGCACTATGATTATAACTGACTGACTGAAATACTTGTGTTTTGTTGTACATATATATTGAATAAGTAACTTAACATTTCATAATCCTCATTATTTGTATAATTAACTTGATCTATTTTCATACTTAGAAATCCTTACTAACTACTTGTGGTTACTAGTATTTATGTATTTTTATGTTCTAGCCTCCCACATGGAGCTGTTTCAGTGGGAACATTAAGAAAAGTATCAAAAAGTACTAAAGAGTTTGCACCACCGGTGAAACCACGTCAACCAGATACTCTTCTTCCTGAATGTCTCACCAAACCTGATCGTTGTCCAGTTCGTTTATTTGAAGCTTTCTGTTCACATCGTCCATGCTCATCAAACTCTGTTGAATCTCCATTTTATTTACAACCCGAACGATGTAATTCCATAATTCATGCATCAATGAATAATCCAACTTGGTTCACATCAAATGCTCTTGGTAAAAATAAAATTGGTTCAATGTTGAATGGTGCATTACAAAATATTGGTATGCCTGTTGGTCGGCAGGTAAATTTAGGCCGATTTTGTGATTCATTAATCGCTGCAGCATTTTCACACTCCGGTGGTGGTAATGTCGGTGAAGCATTACGTAGTTTATTGTTTTTAAATTGTCGACCAAATCATCATATACCAGAGTCATTATTACCAAGTATTACATTGTATGCAGAGAATATTGTACAAATGTCAACAACACCGAATTCACCAGTCTATACATATTTAACTAAGATATGTTCAACGAAAGCTGTGAAAAATGTTAAAAAAACTAGTTTAAAACTAGCAAAAATTCCGTCGAAACTATTGTATTCCGTAAGCGTTGATCATAAAAGTAATAACCATGATGTTAATGATAATGATGATGATGATGATGATGGTAATCATCATTCAACAAATGTCACTAGTAATTTAACTGTAACTTCTACGACAAATCATAATTGTATTGATAGAGTCGGTGTGAATAATTTGAATCCATTATCAACTACTCCTACTGAAGGAAATGTTTGTATTAATTCGAAACAGACAACTATTCGTTACAAGTATGTATTGGTGACGTTTTTGCTTGTCTATGTATAATAATACGAAGTTGTTTTACTGTTATTTTGGTGTCAACATACTTGAAAGCAGAGAAATTCTACATCAAGTCATAAATTCATCTCACTGATTATATTGATCTGAACTGTATGAAAGAAATAAGATGTAAATTATAAACCAAACCCCAGTTAGAATCTGTCTAAAATCATTAGTGTTGAGATCTCATACATTCTCTCCGTCATTTGGTTCTTTTGAGTCTCGAACTTGATGTCAATACAATTTTTTTCATTCCTTCTTTTGAATCGGTAGCTCAATGATAAAATATTTGTCTTCTGGACGCTTACTGTAAGGTTTGATCCTCACTTCATCTACTCTATTTTGGACAACTGTATAGCACTCACACTTAGTGTGACTCATACTCAAGTACCTGGTGAATGAGTTAATCTACATATTTCATATTTTTAAACTACAATTCATTTAAATTCACTTGGTATTGTTTACTTGAATCTTCCCATTGATTTTTAGGGCTGCAATTGATCAATCATTATCCATCTTTGCTTATGATATATGCCATTTGTTTAGCTTTTCATTTTAATTCATATTATTATCATCATTATTTCCGCTTGTGCAACATCTCCACTTCATTAATTTTTTCTCATAATGCTGGTGAGACGTTGGATAATTACCAGGTCCTGATTTCTCTATGACTGACTGAAATTTTATTCACTAGAGAGATGTGGTATTCCAGTTCATGGAATCATTGACTATTATATTGAGTTTTGTTGATAGGTTCAGATTACCTGGTTAAGGCCTATCCGTACACCTTAACTAATAGTTTCAGACTTCGGGTGACAGTTCAGAATCGGTTACAATGGCGCAGATGCATTTACTCTTTGTCTTTTTTTAGATTTCGAGTTCCAAAAATTATCTGATATTTTTTCTTTCACTAATTCATCCTTACTTCTCGAACAATATTATCTAAACCTAGATTTTTCTACTGTCACTGATATTGTTGCTAATTATATTACTCGTGAATCTCTGTCTTCATATGATGTGATAGCTTGGATCAATGCACATGTCTGACAGGTTCTACGTTTCCATTCGCTTATAGACTTACCAGTTTACTAAATTGTCTAAATCTATGTAGGACGTGGCACATATGTGGAGTTCAATGGACAAGGAGTCTTGAATCTAGTTTACATATTATTCTGATTTGTGGAGTTATGACTCATAGGTTTTCAGGTAGAATTAATACACTGTCAACAATCGTACTTTACGTACTCAAAGTCCACTTAATATATTTCATTACGGGTATTATATTTAAAACCTACACAATAAACGTGTTTTTTCTCTAAGAATTTACTAAACATGACAATATCGAATCCGAAAATTTCAAATAATTGATTCATCTTATACTTCAAATTGTTATTATTAAGATTGACTATACAATTGAATAATTTACTATTGAATATTGCCAATGAAGTCCAGATATATGCGATGACCAAGCTATGTGACTCCTCATCAGTGTTTATCCACGACTCAGCATCTGGGAAATAAACTCGGGACCTTAGGTATTCCGAGTGAATGGTAGATCTCTAGACAACGGAGTCGATGGGATAATATCATTAGCCCTCACACTGAAAATGTGACTGATAATCAACTACCTGATGAATGAGTCAATTAAATTAAATAATTTAATTAGATAAGCAAGTATTAGGGTACAATGTGATTTTTCGTATCTACTTAATTCCTTCTATGTTGTTATATCACAATACCGTTTTCCTTTTTGTTCAGATCAAGTTTTGGGGATTTCTTTTCATTCACTGTTTTTTTTTCAAGTGGGACTTTGGATTTCATTCTTTATCCACAGATCCATATCATAAAACTACTTATTAGATCGGAGCTCGGTTTTTTAGTATTTTCTCTATGTACTAACTATTTAGCGTTTACATCCACTGTATTTGACGACATAAGAAAACTACTTTTAAATTCATTAATCCGTCAGAAATGAATGTTTTTGAGTTAGTGGAATTCAACTTTTAACTATTAAGTCACAGGTTCGAACTCAGCTCTACCCACATCGGTTTCGACAACTGGGTAATAACATTAGCCCTCACACTTAGTGTGACTCAGAGTCAAGTGCACGAATCTGCACCTGGTTGATGGTTGTGTTACAAAGCGACTAGCTGTCAAACAACGTGTAGTCTTGTATACCATTAAGAATTTTTTTCTCTCCTCCCTATAAAGTACGATCGTGAACAATTGTTCTCTATTAGTCCCAGTTGATTTGTTATTCAGCAATTAGAAATAGTTATGGATTTTCTTTAAATCTATTCAAGTTACGTAGATCTTCCGTAAAAACACAAACATGTTTTAATCAGAAAGGGGTTTTGTGGAGATTGTAGTAATTTAATAGTTGAATTCATGAGCCAATTAAAGTTAGACCACCATGGAAAACATGGAAGCACTGGACGGCTAGGTTTTAAATGGTGATCTAGCTTTAACTGACTCATGAATTCAACTATTAAATTACATGTTTTAATTTTTCTATTTTCTTTTTACTAGTCGAGTTCATTAACCGATCTAAACTAGACCACCATTTATAAACAACATCCACACCTTTTTTATGATAGTGCAAATGATTTATAGCTCAGTTGGATGATTTGGGTGGTGTTCGATTGGAGTTTCATTGGGTGGTATAACTCAGACAACTAAACAATACCAAAAAGTTATTATCACACTACTATTAATAATCAGAAAGTCAGTACATTGTATGAGTTACATCATCAAGTCTTTCTGGTTTATGGAATGACCCTTATTATTTTGTTAAATCTTCCTCCATCCTGCTCCTCTCTCTTGTATTTTATACTTTTCTTGTAAATTTGTCTTTCAATTAATTGAGCTTAATACACAATATCTAGACGCTCATCGTTTTCCCATAGTAATAAATTTATTTTTAATTGGAAGAAATATGATGTGAAGATCGTCTTTATTGAATCCTTCTTTTCATGTTTCAAAAGTTTAATTCTGTTTGATTTCGAACTATCTTAATGTTTAACGAGTGAAAAGTTTACGACTTATTTGTCTGTCTTTTAAAATAGTAGCAGTGAGATAGAAAGAGAACTGATTGATTTACTGACTGGTTGTTAAAAAGAATATGTCAAACGTAATTATTCACACCTTTGAAATGAAGACGAAATTGGGGATTGTTCGCTTCATAGAGTAACTTCTAATATAAGAAATACCATTAAAATCCATTAAGTTCCGCAAATCAATCCAGTTGTAAAACACTAATAACCGAAGCGTATCTTTCAATGGACAATGAAGAGTATTCTTGTCATGCTTAATCAGACAGACCATGTAATACTGAAAAGTACTATGGTGTGGTCATCAGATGTTTGATTGCTTTGTTTGCTCAAACATCATTCGATGAATATATTTTTAAGCAGAGAGGTGTATATAACTTAATGAACTTGTTGTCAATCCGTAGATCACAGATTTACACTGTTCAAAACTATCTTGTAGTGCTCTAAAGTATGGTACGTCGTATTTTTATGAGTTGATCAGAATTTAGGTCTAGAGATTCCGTTTATGAATAATGTTATAATTATGGTTTTTTAGTGGTTACTTCATCAACGATGTGTGATCTTTTGAAACTGTCAAATGTAGATGTTTAATATATCACTAGCGCTCAAACACACAAGAAGATTTGTGATAATTTAGTGACCACTAAATATTTAAATATACTGAAAGAATTGAAGCTGTTGTTTGTTAAATGTGAATAGCAATAAAGTTCATATGAGGATAATCATCCTTTTCCAATGTTGAATAAAAGTGCAATATCTAGTTTTCTTTCGAGCATTTTCTTGGTCTATTGCATATAAGAGGGTAATTTTCATTCCGGATTTCATTTCTGCTTATGTATTTTGCGAACACTTTACTGTAGCACATCCTAACTTTCCAGATGAAAGAAGCAAATAAACTATAAGTTAGAGCTTGAAATGAAATCTTCAGTGAAAATTATGCTTTTTTTTGCAACATTCACTCACTAAATATGAACGGGAAAGTGTGAGGTAGTGGAAACATATTAAACATTGAAAATCGGATGTGTTACAAGTTCATAGACACGTAACCTGTCCCATGAATTTCACACGAAATATTCACTATTGTCTATTCACTTCATTTCATTTTCGTGTCGATTTTGCTTTTTAGACCATACTCACCTTGAAGTGATATTATTTTATCATTTTTATGAGATGATTCATACGTTAAAAGTACATAATCTGCATGTGATTATTTACATTTGTATGTTTGTTTATGCCTACTAGTTGTTTTCCAATAGTCACAAGTAACTTTAATTTAAAATTTTCATTGTGTCCAAATTTGCTGATTGTGGTTTGGTGAATCGTTCAAGTTTGTCAAATGGGATTGAATGTCTGTCTTACAAAAATGTTCTCAATGACTATCTTCTTGCCGTGGTTATCCTGAACATCTTCAGTGTCCAATGCGTGCGTTACATTCAGTAGTTAGGTCACTTTACCATCCATTTATTTAGTTATTTCTGTATATTGGAGTGTAATTTTAACCAAAGATTTCATTTCAAACGTTTAGAGTCATTTGTGATTGTAGCCTGTGATACAGCCCAATATGCTTAATGAAAGACATAAAAATGGTGAAAGTCAGACCTTTTAATAAAATCTTTTCGGAAAATAAAACACGTGATGTGTAATGCCTACCCGATGAATAAATTAAAAAAATAGCCGAAATTTCTAGGTACAACATATTCATTGAACATTGGGAACGTTGCAAATAAACTCAGTGACTGATAAAGACAATTTGTTGTCCAGGTGAACGCTTTTGGTGGTGCTAAGTTCCCCCGAGCTAGATAGTTTAATTGTGGGGATTTCATTGCCAATCTGGATAACATCTTCAGCTTCTACTTGATGTAGGAGGTGATATAGTGTGCAATGACTTTATCAATTGCAGTGCGAATGACATATGAAATTAATTACATAGATGCTTAGTTGTATGATATGGTAAATATGTGTTCACGCAATGAGTGATGGAATAAATAATCTTACATATTATTCAATCCAAATTATACAAATCTGACTGTAAATAAATCGTCTAAAAAGTAGTACATTCATATATCGTTTTGATTTATTTCTGCAGTTAAATAAATTTATATAATCAGTTTTTGTGTTCTCACTATGCTTAGTCGTATTCAGGGTGCATAATATTCTTTTCGAGTTCTAATCCGAATATTAGTACATTGGAATTTTCGGATCATTCACGTGATGTAACTTGTAAGATTGATAGGTTCAGGTTACCTTATTGGAGTCTACATGATAATTTTGGTCACTAGTTGAAGATGTTTGATAACATGAGTCAGAATGGGTCATATTGTCGCAAGTAGATTCATTCTTTACCTTCCCCTCGTAGCTTAAGTTGCAGTATTTCTCCATACATACCTCTTTATTCCGTCAGTGACCAATCAATCGTAAATTCCCTCAGTCTTATGGAGGAGGTTAATGGCGGCCTGAATAGCTCATTGTTAACGTCTCAGATTGTGAAGCTGAGTGATGTGAGATCGAATTCATCAAGGAGAACCAATACCCTCAAAATTACAGGTACTTCTTTTTGAAAAATGTCAAATAGCATGAAACCTCTTGGTCCATGGTTTCCTGCTCACTACACACAAATATTTGGTTCAAAGCGGAGTACATAAGTAAACACTTGGTCGCCTTAATAAATTAACTACAAGTTTGTATTGTTGAATATCTCATTTATTGTTTTTAAGTCAGTATGAAATTAATAATGAACTGAAATTACATTCATCAACGTGTGTAAAAAGTCCAAATGAACTAATAAATTTACATGTAAAACATGTGTGTATATCATCGTTAAGTTGATCAATTCATTCACATTTGTTTGTCTAAATTTTGTGTAGTTTAGCTGTATCTATTGATTTCTTGAATTAGTTCAAATTTCGATTATTTTTGTAGTCATCATCGTCTTGAACTAATACCGGTAACGTTTTTGTTGACTACATGTTTATTGCGTATTCGATTTATTTTGAACATTTATTATTTCAATGGCGTGTAATGTTTGGAAATGTTATTTTCAATAATTTTATGTTTTCTCTATCAGAGTTGATGATAAATTATAGAATTAGTCGATGTTTCGAAAAACCTTTTCCTAACTAAAGAAGGTTTTACGATATAGACAGACTTTAGTTCAGATAGCCTTGGTTAGGGTTATATATTGTAGATGGATCGATAATATTTTGAAATAACTTCATCATTCAGCGTTCAATCCATGGAATCTAGTGAGTACTACTTCCATTTACTGTGGATTACTGTCAACCATTACTGTCAACTAATAGATGATACCACATGGCTTTCCCAAGTTTTACTTCTTATTAACTGCTGAAGAAATCTTTAATTGTATATTGAATCAACGACTTAGATTTAACTAAAAAAAGATACTGTTTTATATTTATTCAGGGACAAAGATTGAATTCAATCAAAAAATATCTTGTTTACAGGAGGATTCATAACGATAATCTCTCGATAGCCTTTTTTATTCAAAAAATCAAGGTGTAAAACTCAACTATTAATCATGTATTAATTGTTTTCCAGTCACTGAATGTTTTCAACGATAACAGTGTAAATGCAAGGTGTATATACAGCCCTGACCGGCAATTCCTTATAAGTCCCACGGTCTCAACTCACATTGATCTGATTCAGATAAGATTACATTTCCTTTGTCAGCTTTTTAAGAGGGCAGTTAAATTCAATATGAGAATAAGTGTCTGTTTGTGACTCTAGTTTCGCAACCCCATGTTTCTTGATAGAAATTAATTTTATTTACTGTAGTTTTGCTAAATTATTTTTTCCATTATATCTGCTTTGCACTAAACTTAGTGACCATCACTCTTTGGATGATGAAGATGACGATGTAGACGACGTAGCGATTGATTCATTTGATTTGGACAATTCCAATTCATCAATTAATAATCCCACTACTGACGGGCTACATTCAGTACATCAACAGTTAAAGGATAGTCATGTCAGAACTGGAATCGGGACAATTAACAGTAACAATAACGACAACAGTGGTAATGATGAATTATTAAATTGCTTACCTAAAGTCAAATTATCTTCAAGTCAGGAAAATTTGAATATGGACGTTTCACAAACATATCCTTTCGGTAATTTATCTCTATAAAAATAGGTTGAATTGTTTCGTGTATATTTGAATACCACTTCACTGTGTTTTGAATTGATAAGGTGATAAGGTGAAATCTGACTCACTTACTATTTCCTTCATGGACTTTTATTTTTTATTATGGTTAGGTGGTTGCGAGAAGAGTGATGATCCTTCGGTTAAAACGATTGACTTTCAACTGATAGACTTCAGTTTTTGGAGTCCTGTTTTATCTAAGTAAGTTTAAGCTATTGAGCAGTATCGTTAGACCTGAGATACAAATAGTGTAGGTAAAAGCTGAGCACAAAAATGTTTAGCTAATAAGTGAGTTACATGAACAGTTATCGTGTTGTTCGCCGGTTGGTAAGTTTGAGAATATGATCTATGTATTACTTATTGGATTGCTGCTTACTTCAACATGTGATATTGCTTGATAATGATCACATCGGGGTACGATACTTGTATACAATAGGTTTTTCAATTGTTATTCTGACTTCTATGTGTTATTTATCACAACTTGATAACGTGGTTATTTTATTTATTTATTTCAACACATAGATAATGGTACAAAGAGGCACCAAATACATATGCGCCACACAGATCTCATTTGATTTGTGTGAGGGCTGTGATACTGTACGGGTGCCCAAACCGAAGCAGGTGGTTTTCTTAGAGGCCACACCTGGAGCCTTCGACCTGAAGGTCTGACCCACAAGGAAGTGGAGCATCGTTAGAAGATGCAGTCCCACGGAAGCCGGCGACCAACGTTTGGTTCATATGCCATTTGTTTCTTCAGGATACTGGAGCCCATGTGCACCATTGGTTTTGAACCCGGTTAAAGCGCCGGACATTCGCTTTTCGTCCTCTCATTTTCGTAAACAACACCCCCGCCACGAGAAGTCAGTGAGTAGGACTTCCCTGTCAGAGGCTATATACGCGTGGCCGTGTGAGAGCATTTCGAGAGGGAGAGCGGACTCTACCCACTCTCGGCCGTACCAGGGCATTTGGGGGTTAACTTATTAAACTATAGTTTACTTCAAAATGATGCAGTAGGTGAAGTTGATATTTAGAGTATGAGAAAGGTACATAGTTATTATACTAAACCACAAAATTCCTGATAATTAATCCGATTTTTAGTGAGGGGGTATATGAAGTACTATATTGATAGTGAGTATGTATGCACGTGAATTAATTGGTTTTGCTTCTTCATAAGGTTATTATTTTGAACATTAGAGTTGAATTTGAGGTTGAGTACTGAACATGATATCTTGCTGAATACCAATCTACTTATCAAGTTTTATGGAATGAATTAATAGTAACTAGTGATGGAATTCAGGACTTGTGTTTCGTCCTGTATGGATGTACCTGAATGCTAGTGTTAACTTTAAATCCACTACCCTTCTCCTCAAACACCAAGTTATGTCTCAAGTGGGTACTGCGTCTAGTTAGCCAATAACTTTTTCAACAGGTATTATCTTTGTATCAAAATTAGTAAGGATTTTGAAGTATTCCTGTGTTAACATCTAACGAATCTCAAATAAAATGAAACAGATACCCTGGTACGGCCAAGGGTAGGAAGAGTCCGCTCTCCCTCTCGAAATCTCATCATATGGACACGCGTATCAGCCACTGCCAAAGAACTCATACTCACTGACTTCTCGTAGCGGGTGTGTTGTTTACGAAATCGAGAAGACGAAAAGCGAATGTCCGGGGCTTTAACCGAGTTGGTAGAAATGGAGGGTCCATTTAGAGGAGTTGGAAAACCCTGATTTCAAACCAATGGTGCACATGAGCTCAGTCAGTCAGCAACAGCGTAGAGCTTCGTACGTACGTACATCAGTCCGAGTTGCACATGAGCCCCAGTATCTTGAAGGAACAAATGGCGTATGAACCAATTTTTGGTCACCGGCTACTATGGGACTGACGTTGCTCCATTGCCTTGTGGAAGAGACCTTCAAGTCGAAGGCTCCGGGAGTGGCCCCCTGAGAAAACTACCTGCTTCGGTCTGAGCATCTGGGCAATATTACAGCTCACACACAAATCAAGTAACTTGTGTGGCACATATGTATTCGGTACCCCTTTGTACCACTATTTATGTTTAAATAAATAAAAGTAAATAAATATTATCTTTATCAAAATTAGTAAAGATTTTGAAGTATTCCTGTGTTAACATCTAACGAGTCTCAAATAAAATGAAACAGGTGTTCCGGGCTTTATTAATAGTCAATCTCTTCATAGACTAATGCTAATCTTTGTTTGAACACCTCTTGTTTTCTTACAGCCTACTCCTGCATTAACAGACATTGGTCGTGATGGTAGGAGTTTGTTCGATATATACAATACGTACTCTAACCACTTTAGCCGATGAAGACCCACTACCTCAACGACCAATTTTTTTATTTATCCAGTGCCATTCTTCTATCTTTAAAGGTCACATTTCACAGCCACAAATTAAATTAAAATAAACTATTGTGTTGTAATAATCTTCAATAATATATTTTTCATGTTACCATTTTTATTGTAGGCAATATTATTCAGGCACAGGGTGGTAGTGGACAGACATTATTTGATATAAATAGTAGTCAACTGTTACATTCACAACATCAACTCCAATATTCTAATTTTCCACAACAACAACAGTTGAATAATCCGACGGAATTTCTTTTTACACCTTTATCATATCCTCCTAATACCAATGTAAATATTTCTTCATTCTCTCCTGCTGTAATATTTGTACCAGCTTCGTATACAACAGCGATCGGCCATAATCGTATGGAATTTGTAGCTGGTCCCGATGGTACTGCCGTTGATACATCTGATTCATCTGTTGTTGCCTCTTCTTCATCAACAATACCATCTAATTTAGGTATTTGTTCATCGATATCTGCTGCATTGCCATTAGATGAGAATATGATTGATATTTGTAAGTTAGTACATGTAAAGTTCTGTTCACACATCTGTAATGTTATAGTATTTAGCAAGCTATTTTCAGATGTTATTTGTCATGATCACCTTTCTACATTGTAGTTATTGTCTTGGTTATTTTATAATGCATACATTTGTTAATAGTAAAAATAAGTGACAGAACTGTTTGATTTTTGATTTGCCATCATTTGTAGGCTGTGATAATTCAACAACAACGGTTCATTCGTAAGATTTCCTTTATTTTTCATAGTTTACATCACGAACTGACCATAGTTATTCAACTATTGAAAACGGGAAACTATTGGACAGATGTTTCATCCTAGTATGGGGATCCTTGTGTGTGAACGTCTCGAACAGATTAAACAAAATGATTTATGTTTGATTCACGCTACTTGATTAAGTTATCAAGAAGAATTGTTTTGATAAAAATTCTCGCACATAGATTTATAGTTACAGTCTTTTATCAACCTTGGTTAAGTGAAAATTACCATCAGTGACGGATTGATGCTCTTGAAAACAGACATTTTTGATTTTGTGTTCGATTTAGTGACAGTCCACAATCACCATGCATTGGTAAAAAAGTAACAGGATATTCCAGTCAATCATTCATAAGCGAAGTAGAATCTTGCACATATCTCCTTCTGTTCAAGCTACCACAATATATGAGCACACCAAATTGAAATGATCATAACCAATATCAGAGTAGTAGAAGTAGCAGAAATATTATCGGTAGTAGAAACGATTAGGTATGAACATTACGTTTCTTGAGGAAAGAATGAATTCGCGAAATAAACAATACATGAAAATTCTTAGAGTTAAGATATAATGAAAAGTGAATAAATCTTTAACATCACGACCGATTCTGACCCATGCTACTTATCACTGATTACAAACATCGAGGGAACACCCAACCTGATAGTCTTTATATAGCGACATGACCCAGTTCAACACTCAGTGACTTCATGGACCGAAGGCTCGTCTTTAAACCTATTCTTACACTAGCAAACATCGTGTATTGAGGTAAACGATTGTTGAACGTACGTACTAAATATTTCAACCACTTTATTTGGTAGAGATTCACTATCCGAACAACTAATTTTTCATCTTTAGCTGGTACCTTGGATCAGGCTTCAACATTTTTCATCTAATAGCTCTAACATAATCAAGCAGATCTGTTGTCGTATTTTGTTTCGTTTCTGGTGTTCAGATGTGTTTTTTGTTTTAATTGTTTATGTGTATGGTTTTGTTTTCTTCATTAAAACATACACTGGAAATTATCAATCGATGAACTACTGTTTCGTTTCTCTGTTATAATCTCATAACTTCAGTTATTATTAAATAATTTATTATACATAAAACTCACTCAGATCTTTTTCTCAACTCGCCTCATTCCTTTAATATTCTATATTTATTCAAGCTCGTCTTGGTGGTATTGAAAATATAATGCCTACAACTATGATTTCATCAAGTACACCAATTAAACAATCATCACCGGAAGTTACTGTGTCACATTGTTCACAACCAGAATTGGCTACAAAATCTAATTTATCGTCTAATCGAAATGATACAATAATTCGTTGTCAACCTAATGATGATATACGTATTGATCTGCGTAAATCTGGTGGTGGTTCCGGTCGTTCGGTTAAATTGGAATTACGTGAATTATTAGATCTTGTATTAGCAGCTGCAGCTCGTACACCGAATTGTTTAGTTTTAGCAGATAGTGGTAAGATTTATTCTCCACTTCCTGGTACATCACAACGTCCTCCAGTTGGTCTAGTTACTCAATTACTTTGGCGTGCTCGTGCTCTAGACGATCGTGGACCATGGATTTTAACTTTTTCTATGTGGTGGTTAATGCAACACTATTTTGGTATTGGTAGCCGAATGCATCATGTACGGTTACGCTGGGGACATTTAAGATTGGTATCTAATGTTATTGATCCTCTTACTGGAGAGTTATGTGAAGCAATTGAATATGTTGGTCCTTCAGCATTCACTACAGTTAAAGCATGTGCCCTACTTGAATCTAATTCATCTTCAAAAGATCAACCTGTTCGTCGTGTTTATCCTTCTTCAGGTTGGGGAGAAGCTGAGATTGCAGTTGCTTCAGCATTGGCTTCTGAACACAGCGCTAATCGCCCAAGGGTTCGTCCTCTTGAAATTGATCCAACTGTACCACCCGTTCCTGCTCGTTCTGGTCCTGATTTTGTATCTTTGTATAAATCATTTGCTAGACATAGACAACAAGCATCGTTACTTCCAGAAGCACCATTTTATGTTCAACCTTTACAGGTTAGTGCTTATGTGTGAGTACTATTCTGTTCTGTGATGTATGTCAACTTTCAAGGTCAACTTCACAAGTTTGCTGACTTATTGAGAATTTATTTGGAACCCTAAACTGCGATGTTATAGTCGTTTTGACAGTGATTAATCAAACTTTAGAGTTTACTTGCTGTTACATTCAGCGTAACTGAATCGAAGAAAAGAACTTTTATTGATTATTAATATCTTTTGCGATATTACTATTGTCAAGTGATTACATGATCTTTTTCAAAAGTTGACGAGATAATGACTCGTTTTTAGGTGGGTTTGTGTAGTGGCGAGTAGTGGAATCAAGCACACGTGTGTCGTTCTTTTTAACGGTTCTTCGGTTGGATGTCGACTTTCACAGTCAGAGTCGAACCATGTACCTTTAGCTTCAAACACCCAACTCAGTATTCACTTGGCTAATGAGTCTAGAAAACCACTGGCTTGTGCAATGGGAGGATTTCTAATGTATATGTAAGAGTTGTTTGAATCCTTCTGTTGATAGATTAAGGACTGAAATTAATCAGCCTCTTTTGGGGTATGTGCATACTGTGTGGATTGCTTCGATATTACAATTAAGTTTCGAGGATTTTAATGTTGTTGGGATTATTCCAACAGAGACAATTGTGTAGTTCTGCTTACCATTATATAGATCCGAATTTGCATATATTATGATTGAATGGTGGAAATTAGTACATTACTACACTGAATGCTTCATTCTTGTTAATTAAGTACCTAGACAAATAGGGCGTTTTATTATCGATTCATTGGGTCATGAATTAATTTCAATTATAAGATTAAATTAAAAAACTCGCTTATTCAATTCTGTAGTTCGTCCATTTGTCACACAAAATATGAAGGGTAGCGATATCACTCGATTGATCGGATCGAAATAGTTGGAAGTATTTTTAAACCGTAAATTTGGTGGCTAAAAATCGAATGCCTTACCTGTGAGCCACTGCTCTACGTATGATTAATGGAATTTAAACCCTACTACATTTTCAGAAGTACTGGTTTGATATAATTCTTTCGCCTAGTTGTGATAATTATTTCCTAATATGATCCATTTCCAACATTACCGCAATTTACAAAACATTTTCAGTTGACCGTTTTTGCACTTTTTTCTACTATATTGTATTATTACCAACTGGTGTTCATCTCAATAACATTGTATTTCTTCCCTCTTGCATTCATCATCTAATCTATCTATTACAGAGTTCAACTTCAGCTCTTCAATCAAAATCTGCAATTGCTTGGTTCAGTGTTGGTGCATTAGGCAAAAATCGTATTGGTGCATTAATGCGTAACATTGTTGATAAAGTTGTTCGTCCAGATATGCAACGAATTGCAACAGCTGCTCTGTCAGCGGCCACTACTGCGTGTGTTATAGCGGCGGATAGAGCTGCATTAGCTTTAAATCAACGTGAGAAATTCAATTGTGTTATGGCTAATCGTTGTGCTACTACTACCACTTCTACAATTATTGCTAATCATAATACTATTAGTAGTAACAGAAATAATGACAGTAATTATACTTCAGATTTAAATTATCGTCAACAGTCATTAGTCGATAAATTATCCTGTTTACTAGGCACTAATATGTCTGGTATGACTAATCCAAGTAATGATATTTTGCTTACATCATCATCACCTACGATTATGAATAACACGACTATCACTCGAACAATTAGTACTGGTAGCAACAATACTACTACTATCGGTAATAATAATAATCCCAACATAATGATGCTTTCACGTTTAGATAACCCTGAAACCACAAGTATACTTCTTTCATCAACTCCAACACTACTACATTCATCACGTACAGAAGAGATGTGCAGTTCAAATAATCAATTTTTATTAAAACTACCGAAATTAATGCAACAATCAGTATCATCATTACCGTCATCAATTGTATCATCTTGTAGTAGTAATTCGTTGATGAATACAAATAATAATAACATATCTCTATCATCTATGATTACTCCACTATCCGGTAAATTGTCATCACCACCACCGCCGCCCCCAGTACAAACATCGTCATCAACATTAGCTGATTTTCGTAATCAAATTTTATACGAAACCTCACCAGTTCAACAACAACAGCAAAACTTTGTTCATGATAATGATCGAATTATTGTTAATCCAACCACTCAACTGAGTGCAAATAGTTTTATCCTATTAACCACTGTAGATGGGCATACATTTTTAGCGCCTAGTAGTAGTATTTATCCACCAACCTCAACAGCAACGACAACAATAGCGACTAATCAATCGAATAGTTATATCTTGATGCCTAATTCAACATCCACTGGAACTAATACTGCATTTAATACAACTAATATATCTTTACAACAATCGGAACAGTTCGATCCTATACAACTTCAATCTCATCAAGCTAATCTCAATTCATTGCAACAAAGTACATTTATCTTGTCGAGTTCAAGCAATCCAACTTTAAAAACACAAAATTCGGTAAGTTTTATGTGTACTTTTCTTTAAACATTACACGTTTGTTATATTGTTCTATTTTAAATTTCATTCTTGTAGAAATTTTCTATGAAATACTCTAAATTTTCTGTGATCACTTTAATGAGGCAATTACTTCAGAGAGACAATAAGGAATCGGGAATCGAAAAGATAAATTATAATAAAACACTGTTTATACCACTAATTATTGAGTTTTAATAAACCTTTAATTGTAGTCGAGGGCGATGGTGTTCGGACTTCGTAGAACGATCATCGCATTCAACATAGTTCTGTGTTTTCAAATGTCAATGACTACATTCTATTCAGTGGAGCTAATCTCTGTTATCGTTAGTCTGTTAGTCATAAGTGACGTAGAACATAGTACTTGTATTCTTTGGCATCCATATTCAGGTTCAAAACCAGCCGAATTTTCCTGTATTTGCTATTCACGAACCCCAATTAAGCGATGGATGGTTATTAAAGTGAATGTTTTAGACAATATATGGGTCAAATTGATTCCTCTATGGTTATCTTTAGAGGATTTTCACCTTTCCTTATAAATACTTGTGTTCTGCGACCGGGACCCATGCGATGGTATTACGCACAGTTCCCAGATTTAGTTTAACCACTTTCCTTAAATATTTCTAGGGTCAATCCATCATTAGCTTTTGTTCTCCTTCGTTTTGTCTAACTATAGTTTTTTCCACCACACTGGAAGTCGAGGACGGAAGCTTTTAATATTTCCTATTCTGATTGTTTTGGAATAGTGGGTAATTGATGGGTAACTGGAGACTATTATCGTCTTCCAACATGTGCTCATATGGATTCAACTATTATCGTTCCGAATTTTTCGCTTTATTATCATGGTGAATGTTTTTTTGCTTGCTTTAAAATCCAAATTTTTGTATAATTGTTTGCTATAAAAATGTTTACTTGTTTTCCGTACAAATTATCATCTTAGTTGACAACGACAAAAATCAATCCCACGGCATCTTCACCAGCGACAACCACATCACGAGCATTTAATCAACCTGTGGCATGTCATCTAATATCACATCCAAGTAGTAATAATAATAATAGCACTAATGCAGTACCGGTGAATTTAATTCTCTTATCTACCTCAACTTCGCCTGGTTTTTGTTCTGCTCCAATTGTATTGAATACAACTTTACAACCTCAAATTCAACATCACCAAGAGCAGTCACAATATTGTAATTTACAAACAATTTATCAGTCAGACAAGCGTCAGTGTGACTTTGATTTCAATCTACACTCTGCTAGTAGAGATGGTGGCGCTTTCATGGATTCACTTCAACCGTTAATTATTCAAAGAAATGATTCCAATATAGCTACAATTGTTTTGAATACAAATAATGATGATATACCTGTTCGTCGAACAATCACTTTAATGAATTCATCGAATCCGACAAATAGGACCAACAGTAGTAATAGTAATAATAATATTAATGATAATTGTCGGATGAAATTATCCCAAGTAAGCACCAGTTCGGCACCTACCACAACCACCACAACAACTTGTATTACTACTACTACCACCATACTTCCAGCCTGTAATCAAATATTTTATGGTCGTAATTCATTACAACATCAACAATTACAATCTCCACTTCAAGGTTATGAAATATCAGACCACCAAAATTTGACATCCTCTACAAATGTTGGAGGTACAACTACAACCTCAGCTTTAATTCAAGTTAGTCCATTGAAATCAGATTATAATGCACAGAATGGTAGTATTGTTCAAGCTCTTTCATATACTGGTGATAGACAACCGATAACCATTACACAACCTGATGATGTCGTCGGTGACGTTGGTCACAATGGCGTTACACAATCACAGTTTTCAACATTAATTGAAGCGAAATTGGAACCATCAACAATTAATTCTCACAGCCTTCTACAACAAAATAATCATGTGAGTTAAAACAGAATATGTTTATTCGTTTCACGTGGTCTTGAGTGCTGTTAGAGGTATGAGGGTGGTTATCACTTCCCGGCTGCCCACACTGTGGAAGGGTTGTTCTGGAGGTACCTGATAAGGAAATTGGATTAAAGGTGGTCTTAGTGACCTGAGAGCGTGACCGCAGTGCCCAAGGGCAACTGCTTGAGGTCGGTCACACATGACCTTTTTGTGGGTAATTTTCGTGTTAGCTCCGTACTTGTTGAGGTCTTATCGCCATAGACGGATATCTGTGGGATAAGACGGAGTGTGCATTTTTAGGGTCGACCTTTTCTAACCCCATCCCTCCTTGTGTGAAGGCAGTATCATTGTTACGCTGGTTGTCTAAAGGAAAAATATTACTGCCGTCACACCTCTGTGCAGTCAGCAATACGACTTCGCCCTCAGCCCTTGGGTTTGGTTCTTTTTGTCTTACCACTCTTCAATCGATCTGTTTGGCATGTTAGAGCCTCGAGGAACGATTTTTTTCAGCCAGTATAACTCGATTGATTCATCACGATAGACAGGTCTGACCACCACGCCGTCAATGTAGCAACAATAGTCGGGTGTACACACTCTCTGTCTTCCCTTAAACTATGAGATTATAATTGCCTCATATCTTTCTTTCTGCGGATTAATTCCTTCTTCCCTTATGTCTTTATATGCAATCTTTCTTTTATATATTACCACCACTGAATTAACTACTTCTATGAATCCGGTGTTAATCTTGCTGTGCTAATGCGGTATGGCAACTTGGACCGATGCATATGTGTGCCTGGTCCTACGTTGTAGCTGACTGACTGACTGACTTTTAAATATAATACCCGTAATGAAATATATTAAGTGGACTTTGAGTACGTAAAGTACGATTCCTGACAATGTATTAATTCTACTTAAAAACATATATATATATATATATATATATATATATATATATATATATATATAAAACTAAAATATTTAGAATGGGTTCTAGTCACTAGTTTGTAGGTTCGATCTCTCTCATTTCCCTCAAACCATCTGTCTAGTTGTCATTGGTCGTCAGTTAAACGTGGATGGATTCAATCGAATATTTACTAATTTCCATAAATTTTTTCATACTATTTCAATATTTTGTTTTGTTTTTGTCCTTAGCTTGTAACTTCATCGAATTCAATGCATAATCAACCGATAATCACTTTTCTTCCATTAAATAATGATTATTTATTCAATAACTCTAGTAATAATTTTACTTCTACGACTGCGACAACTGGTACTACTACTCCTACTATTGCTCATGAAATCGGTTCAACAACGTCTAGAACTACAACTACAAATAATAACAATAAACCGGATATTTATTTTGAAGTTCCCCTTAGTAATAGAGATTTGTCTAGCTCAGTTCAAACAGTTTATCGTTTGTTATATACTGACAATTCTGGTCGGACGATAATCACCAATGAGTCGGCGTTGATTAATGAAGCCGGTCATGTTATTATCAATAATGATAGCATTTATAATAACAATAATAATCATGGTGTCAGTAGTGAGAATAACAGTAATAATGTGTTGAATGCAATGAGTATACTTGGAGCTGAGTACTCACCCTACCATTCTTCTTCCTGCGCTTCTTCATCAACTGATCACTATACTATTGACCAACTTCCGAATATTATTAATCGCCAACGTCAGTCGATACCTTGTCCCTATGTAGGATTTTCACCAGTATCGTCAGCATCAACGTTAACAACGGCGTCAACTTTATCAGTGCCATTATTGTCTATCGGCAATACATTTACATTATCATCAACAGCGTTGAAACTACAACAGTCTAAACATTCATCAGTTACTACATCGAATATGACAAATCGATTACAAACATCAAACCAACATAATAATCATAATATTAATAATAATCTTGATGAAATCCATGTTGATTTTATTAATGGCATGTCCAATACTGGTACTACTACTACTTCTACCACTAATACTACTACAACTGCTACTGCCAGAAATGCTACAAATATCAGTTTTGATGGTGGTAATCAGTTGATATCAGGCTATCATCATCAAATTAAAATGGACGATAGTTGTTATTCATCATCTTCTGTTGTGACGACTGCAACAAATCCGATGATGTCTAAAGGACATTATCATAATGTGCATAATAATAACAATAGTAGTACTACTACTAATAATAATATTCGAAATAACTCATTACTAACTCTTCCTTCTTTGTCAAGTATGACATGTCATTTAACCCCAGTGGAGCCGAAACCTGATCAATTGAGAACTTTACAGTCTGTGAGTTGTATTTATTACGTGTTATCTAGGTTTTCTTAATATGTTTATGATTAATATTTTCGTATAGGGATCTGATTTATTAAATATTGGAAATTGTCGTATCATCATGTTACTTCCTGTGGCTCAAATGTTGACCTGGCTAGCATTGAATCAATAAACTGGTTGTTTTTTTTAAAATAATCATTCAACTTAAACTATGAATACATATTAGTTATTGTTTGTGGTTTTTCTTTGTTGGCTTACACTAATGAACTCAGTAGCCCAGTGGATAGTGGGTTTGGTATTTTTGATGAAAAGTACTGGGTTCGAGTCTCCCGGCGTGAATTTCCACATGGGCGTAAGTATATCCGGATCTAAATTCAACCGAAACGTATGACTCTCGATTTCACTGCTATCCATATACCTAGTTTGAAACATTTTCACAGTTTTATCCAAGATCTTCACTAGCTATATGGCTTATATGTCAACGTGTGCCGAAGAGATCACCTCTCATGTTGTTTAACGAAAATATTAGGAAAACAATTTATTTATTCATTTTATTGTTAAATTTTTTCACTTTTAGGTTATTAATTCTGCCAGTGCCTTCCAATGTTCAGATTTTCCTGCCTATGTTGAACAGTTATTCCGTAAAGGTATACTGAGTGGTCGAAGACCATGGTGTTTAAATTTTACTGCATGGTTTATCAATACGTTAGTTTTTGAAGTGGAAAATCGTACAGAACATGTCAGTCTACGTTGGGGTGATTTTCGTCTGTGTCAAACTGCAGATAGACAAACAGAATATATTTATTTTATTAATCGAATTACAAATAAACGTTATTATTTAGCTGGATCACCAACATCATGTTGTGCATTGGGTTACAAAAAAAGTGAATTTGATATGAAGTCAATACATGAACCACCTGTTCGATGTCCTTGTCCTGTAGCTATATTCAAGGAATTAAGAGATAGGCGACCTAGTGGTTGTTTGGATCCTTATTCAAAATTTTACTTACAAGTGTGTTCAATTTTTCTTTTCATTATTATGGTTATTAATGTCATTTTGAATTGTATGTTCCAATCATTTGGATCATGAGTTTCTACTAACTTCGTTTGGTTTGTTTATAAGTTTAAACCATTCTGAATAGTTAGTATTTGTGTTTCTGTATGATTTCTGATATTATACATCCTTTTCAATAATTCTTTGTGTATGGATAATGATGAATTGCATAAGCGACTAGGAAATTGAATTTACAATCAACTGTTATGTTAAACGCCAAGAAATTGATGAATTTAACAACTGTTAATTTGAATGAAACAGGATCTTTGGAAGACAGTTCATTCACTGTTTAAAGATAGTCATTAAAATAGACGATAGCCACTGTCAAAGATGTAACAAAATTGATTTGTCATCTTTACACTCTGTAGTTTCTGAATCTGTTTGTTTTTATTAATTATTTTCTACATTTTGGTAGCCATTACATCACTCGCAGATGAGTGACTGGCTTTGGGATTATTTACTACTGTGGTAAAATTTCCTTACCTAAAGTTTTCATAATTTCTACTGAACACCAATTTTTTCAATGGGCAGTAATAATTTCACGATATTAGTCAGTCAGTCTTTATCAATGTAGGATCTAGGATGAATTTGTATTGGTCAGAGTTACCACACGTGGTAATATCAATTTGATGAAATAAGGAATTAAGATGATAGGAAAGAAAGCAATGTAATCGTTATCATAGCTTAAATTTGAGAAATACTGTCTGATAGAAGGATATGAAATTGGCCAATGAACTAAAGGTTTAGAGATAATAGTGCGAAAGGGACCGAATGCAACAGCGGTAGTGATACCGTTTTGTTGCCATTTCACTGATAGATGCTATCTCACAATCACTGATAAATTCGTTTGTTAAGCACATTGAATACGGTCAGGTCACCAAACCAAAATCAAACATAAAGCATACCAAGTGTGGTTTTGACTATATAATGAATGTTCTGAGTCCCGTACTATGATGAAATACCGGCCTAGTGCCTCTTGGTTATATATAGCTTAATAATGGATTCGTTAGATAGTGATCTCTCCGCTGAATTTCGTGTTTGCAATAGTTGTTCAACTAAGATTAATTAACTAGTAATTTGATTAATTCATTTTATATTATTTGTTTGAATCTTCTCATTGATGTTTACGACTGCAATTGATCAATCTCTTATTGGCATATGTATATACTGTGCGGATTGCCTCGACATTGCTTAAGCAACAAGTATCATAAACTGAGATGATGGTGGCAAGCAGTGGAATCCAGGACACGCGTTTCACCCTATTTGAGACTCGTCAGCTGGATGCACCTGCATCCCAGTGTTGATGTTCACTCTAAGGTTCGAACCCAGTACCGTTCGCTTCGAAAGCCATCACATTATATACTTGCCTCTGATATGCAAGTTCATCAAGCTGAAGAGTTTCAAATAAGACGAAACGCGCGTCCCGAGTTCCAATGCTAGACACCTTCCATCTTTGCTTGTAATATTAATTTAATTGGCTATTCCTACTTTTAGTTCAATGATTGAATAGGTGTTAGTTTTTTCTACATGTTTATTTTTCCTATTCTTTCCTGACTCGAATAACAAAACGTAATTATATAGCCTCGTAATGTTGAATGCCCCGATGCGAATGATATTGAAGAAATACACGATAAAGTTCAAAAATGTCATTTATTACCAGCTAATAGTAATTGGTTCACGGAACATGCATGGGGTAAAAATAAACTTGGTGGTCTATTCGCTGAAGCATCAAAACTTGCTGGTTTACCAACAATCTGGTTACGTAAACATAGATCAAGAAATTTTTTCCCCGGTGGTGGAGGTTCCGGTATCGGTGCACTAGGCAATCTTCATCATCATAATCAATATTTTCATAAAACTGACAACAATATTGATAGTGATACAAATTTGTACAAAAGTAATACTAGCACTACGGAAGACGATGCAGAACATGCGATTACTACATCTAAGGAGAATAAAGGAATGGTTAGTAGTACGCATACAGAGAATAAACGTAGACGATTAATGAATCCAGTTAAAGATGTAGTTTCAACAACGTCTTCGAACACAGCAACTACATCGACGACAGCAATGGTGTCAACAACAGCGACAACGATTATTGGTACAATGAATGCAACGATGACTGTTGATCAAAAGGCAAGTAATTCACATTGGTTTGACCAATGTAAATTTATCTGTATTGTTCAAAAAGGCTGAAACAAACCCATTACTTTAACAAACAGTAACGTTTTAGAGGGATCTCGGTGATGACAACATACTTCTTGCCATTGTCACTTAAACTGTACAGTCGCATTTATAAATTAATTTGATATGTGGTAATCCATCATAGAATAGTCGAAAGTTGTGTTTTTGGACAAAGTTATCAAAGAAAGTTCAAAGGACTGGCTTAAGGATAGTTTTGATCAAATATTTATGCATGACTTAAGCCATAGCAATTGATCAATTCAGTTGAAACTAGGATACTACTTATTCGTAATTCAATAGTTAAAACAATTACGTACAAATGTTTTACAAGGTTGCTTATCAAATTAATTCAGATTATAGGAATAATATTCATCTACAGTAATTAGCATGAAAATCGATTGACGATTTCCACATTACATCACTGATTTATTTTCATTAAGAAAGTCAGATACATTGGATCAAAATAATTTTAATGATTTTTTGCTCATACACACAGTTCATTAGTGTGAACATTATTCATTTACAGTTAATTCAATATACCGAATTTGTACGTTAACTATTAGAGAAAGTGATTCAATTATTTACAGTAGAACGGATAATGTGTATTGAAAGTGTAAATAATTTTAATATGTAATGGTTTATTAATCTCTAATTAATGAGTTCTTTGTTTATTGAAATAATTTGTACTCCTCAAATAAGTCTATATTTTTCGTAGTAAGAAGATAGATAGCAAACAGTAGTAATGAAAGATTACTTGTTTACCGAGTTAAATTGATAGGTTTGTATATAATATAACAATATGAGCTTCTGTTAGAAATATGAAAACTGATACTTAAAACAAGAAAATATCCAGTTGTAAAGTGATCACTCATTTGTATGTCGTTCTAATACAAGCGCATATACCCTCCCATGGAATCTTTTGGGTTCCTTGTTCATTAAAGACGATTGTACATTTGGAACTCTGAACTGTCGTTTATTACACTTCACATTCTTCTAATTGAATAGACTTTTAATTTGGAGACATTAGAGACCGTGATACTATTATCAGCTTTAACAGTCTTCCCAGCTGTAGTATATTTTGCTTGTCACAATTGATTGATCACTGGGTGGTGATCAATCTCATGCTTATCTAGTCCTTATTAGTGCAGATCGAATGCTATCGATCATGTTGCAATGTGGCCACCAGTCTAGGTGACTCGACACTGCGGGCACTATGTAATGAGATTAGATGGTGGTTGAAGGTAGTCAACAGGAAACCCTGGATAGCTCGGATAGCTCAGTGGTAACGTCTCTGACTGTGAAGCTGGGTGACACGAGATCGAATCCGCCAGGGAGCACCAGCTCCCTCAAGATTACAGGTACATCTTGCTGACGAGTACCAAGTAGCACGAAACCCGGGTCCAGGGTTTCCTGTTGACTACCTCCAACCACCATCTATTTTGCTTGTGGCTGGTTAGTCTTCATTATGCCTTTCCCAAGTGATTTGTGGCGCTTCGAAATGTTAGAAGTGGCTGAACAGTTGTTATGCTTCTAAAAGGTGAATAAAATCTGCATCTGTAAATTAATTTCTGGATTTCTCTTTTACACTGTTCAAAACTAATACAAAGATGAATTAAACTTCACCGCATTGCACAAGCTATCGCGTATCTCGACTCAGTATCTAAGTGCAAAACATAGTAGCATTCGAAATGAACCGTACTGGGTTCTAATCTCGGAGGGAACACCAACACTGAGATGAAGGTACATCCAGCTGACGACTACCAAATAGGACGAAACGTGCGTCCTTGGATTTCATTGCTAGCCACCCTTATTTCTGCTTATAACAATTTCTCCTATTTCGAATCTCGTTTCCAAAGTTACAACAGTGTTATTAATTGATTACTTTATATCTGTTTTCTGTTTGACTTTTTCTTAAAATTATTTTTACAGGATCCTAATATTGTCAATAGTGTAAATATACTACCTAGTTCAATGACTATATTGAAGCCGAAAGAAGTACTGTATACTTCAACTATCAGTTAACAGTTCCAGCTTAATGGACAGTCAGTATACATATACATATACCTACTGCAGATATTTTCTGACCACCTCTTACATATTTCATTCATTCCACATGCACACAAATATTTATTTGTTTAGCTTATTTAAGTTTCAATCATTCATTTGATATCTCTGATTTTCAGAATTACACTTACCTAGATATATGGAACTCTACTAATTCTGTTTTTATACATTTGATTTATTGAATTGATTATAATAAGCAAACCAAGAGAGAGAGAGAGAGAGAGGAGATGAAGCAATACAACATGCATATCGTCACCTTTTGTTTTCTTATACAAATTGCTTTGCAATAATGATTATTTCGTATAGTTTAACTGTTCTATGTTTTGTATACAGTGATAAGGTATTGTAGTACTTATAGTGGTAATATTAATAGTAGTATTATTAGTAGTACAATACTGATGGCTTTTCCTGTTGTTTTTTTTCACATGAATGCAGTATTTTCTTTTTGCTTAAACATGATTAATTTTGTGATCTTTCCTTATATCCATAATACAACTAGAAGCAGTAGTCATAATTTAGTGTTAAAATTATTACATCTGCACGAATTATTTTCATTATAATTATATTTATTATTATTATTATTATTATTACTGTTATTATTATTATTGTATATATAGTTTCACACTTCAGAGATTATATCTATGTTCTATGTACTTCACTGTATTGATCGCTTATTTTAACTATTAACTTATTGTGGTTGTGTGTGTGTGTGTGTGTTTTCCCCTATTTCCATATGTATGTTATCGTACTACTGATTTGTCCAAATTGCTTTTAATATACTAAAATACACAGAAATAACAATATACCTCAATTTATGGATATTGTTTTAAGTGATTTTCTAGAGAACCATTGATTTTTCTTCCTTTTAGTTGTCATTTTAGTGATGAGGGTGTGATGATAATAATTTTTGCCACAGTTATTGTATACTATCTATTTCTCGTTGCATTATGCATTTCAACATGTCAATATATACAATACACATACACAGTCCTGTGTTCTTCTACTTGTAGTCCATATATATATATATATATATATCACTGTGTACACATAGGTTGTTGCTTTTAACTAAATACCCTCTTGTTCACCTGTCGCTCCCAATCGGTGTACACATTAATTCACTTTTTGAATAATCCATAAAATGTAAATGTCCGTAAATAATATGAAGTGGATTTATATGTGCAGTGTATTCTGGTTTGTTGCCCTCTCCTCTCGGGCACTCAGTGAAATTCCTTCTATATATACATATACACTCAATACTACATATTTCCATTCAATGAAATTCATATAATTTTTGTTATTGTCTTTTTCTACAATAGTCATTTCTCTATACATATATTCAATTTCTTCATGTGCATATATACATGTATATTCAATATTGTTATCTTAATTATTTTTTATATGGATACAAGAAACTTTATCACATTATTACGATTACATATAACCATTTGTTGCTTTCTATTACATTATAATTCTATACATAATTTGATTGTGCTTTCGTTTTTAGGTAATTAAACAGCATTTTCTTTTCACATTACAGAGTATATATTCCCTTCTCACTATATTCATTAATGCATTCATGACAATGTTGTTGTTCATTTATTATTATTGTCATCTATGAATGTTTGTTTGCATTATTATTTGTTTACAACGATGTTTTCATACACTTCTGTTCTTTTTGTTTGTTTGTTTTTTCTAATTGTTGTGTAAAAGGTTTTTTTTGTTTCTTTCATCGAAAGTCTGTTACAAGTTATGTTTATTATTACTTCTAGTAATCATTCTGTTTTACACATTATCATTATTATAATTATAATCGGTTATTATTTATATGATAACGTTGAAATTGAACCATTTTTTATTAAAGAAAAAAAATTGACGATTGAATGTTTCTTTAATGTTCAGATACTAGAAGAAATCAGTTATTTGTCATTTCTATTCAAGTAAACAATATCAAGTGAATTTAAACTTCACCCCATTGCACAAGTAAGTAGATATTAGGATTGAGTAGCTAAGTGGATAACGCGATAGCGTTTGAAGCGAACAGTACTGAATTCGTGTCACAGAGTGAACATCTATTCTGAGATTCAGGTATATCCAGCTAAGGCGTCCAAAATAGGAGAAAACGCGTGTCTTGAATTCCACTGCTAGCCATTATCTATCTTTGTTTATAATACTTACTTCATGTTTTTACCATAAAGTTTTCTGAACACAATAAACTAAAATATTTGTGAAGTTTAAACAAAGCAAATGCTTTATGAAAATATTACTACACATTTGTATATCGTGACACCATTAGTATACGAGATGTATGTATTCACTTATGTAACACAACAAGTGCTCATTATGAACCTTCAAATATTTCTTAAAGAGCTAACTAGTTACAAAACCACCATTAAGAAGATCACTAGACCTGTAATTAGTGAATGTCTACATTTAATAAGTTTGAAATGATAGTAAACGGCATCCAATCTCTTAATATATTTCTTAAAGGTCTGATATTTCCTAACAATCTGGTAAATAACTAACTAGAAAAATATGATATCAATAGTAAACAAAAGTCATAGAATCTTAACTTATCAAAAGATCATAAGTTTACTTTTAACTACATAATCCACATGTAAAAGAGTGTGAAGGAGTGGATTTTTGAAAATGAAGATTAAGAACATAATTACATTTCTCACTAGGTAAACTCGTAGTTTGATCGAGATGCGAGAAAAATATACATTTAATTTGTTATGGTCATTTATTATTGCAGTTGGTTTATTCTGATTCTAAAATAAAAATTCTCAAATAGTTATTATTTTAAGCACAATGAATGATGACTGACAATACTTGAAAAGTTCTTGACATTATTGTGTTGTTTTTGTTTATTCTGGTTAGCATTTTTTGTAGCAAGGTTGTTTTCTACGGGATGGGGATGCTGATCTCACACCCAACTCTCCTCACTTACCCGAGGTTGAGACTGGCAGTAGCCCTAGATGAGCTTAAGGCAGAGCTAATTGTGTGTCATACTGAATGTCAAATTTCAAGTTGTTGTAATGTTATTTAATTAGAATTACTTGACTACTTATAGTTTGTTAGTAGTTCTTTGTTAAATGCATCGATATAATGAACTGATGTCTAATTTATTTAAAATCAAATGAAGATATTTTAATTATTCACGTGTTATTCAATAATAGAAATCAGATTTTTAAAGTAAGTAAGCATTTACTGGAGTTGAGTATTGTATTCATTTGGATCATTATTTTCTAATTTTCTTCTATAATACGTGAAGGGACGTTATTTAAAAGAAACTATGTTCATAAGTATGGAGTCATTTTCATAGTTTGCATCACGGATTGATCTCAGTTAAACTCCTATTGAGAAGCAATAAGTAGTGGATAATTGTTTCACCGTGGTATGATACTTCTCAGTAGTAAGTATCCACGATCCCTCATTCGGAAATCCAACCTGGTATTTTCGGTCTCACGCGTGGACGTTTAACCTCTGAATTAATATTCGAGCTCTAGAAAATTAAGGTTTGAAACTTTCACGATTCATGCGAAGTCTCAGTGATATTTTGAAATAGGGATTATCATAGAATAAATGAACTGGAATAAGAATTGATAATTTATTCTGCTAGAAACTTATTTCCATAATACAAATTCGGGAGTTAATTATTTAGTTTCATACATATTAAAAGCGAATATTCTACTGAAATTAATAGCCATCATAACAAGTGTGTTCTTTACTATATTCAAAGCGGTACAATACTGCCATAAACTAATGAATACTAGGACTCTTCTGAATATGTATTTTTGTTCATAAGGTGCTACACTTGAGTTACTATTAGTGTCAGTCGAATTGTTGACAAGTTTTAGTGCTGGAGAAGTTTTATAAGGTTATATTGTATATGAAACATATATCTGAACAAACAATAGTTTGTTCATTAATCAACTGAATGTATATTAGTCTGCTTTTATGATACTGTTTAAACTTATAATTGTCATTAAACTTAAAACACATTATTCACTATTTGATGGTAAGGTTTCATGCAGATATCATATTGTTGATAGACAATTATTCTCGGTGAGACAATAATTTATGGACGACCTTTGAGAGTGTCAACCTAATAGTCATGACCAAATGAGGGTTATAAACCAGTGTGAGCAATTAGAATTATGATTTACAGTTGATGGTTAAGGTTAGGAATTAGATTTAGGGTTTTCATCACGAACTAACATCAACTATAATGCCATGAATCGATTTAGCCAAATGCATGACTGATTTTCACTCGAAAATCCAAGACCTGTTATCTTATCCCTGATTGGTTCGCCTTATTCTCTATTTAATTGACAACATATTTATATTATGCTCTATTCTGAACTTAAGATAGTCAGCAAGGTTGTATTTAGAAAAAAAATCATCTAATACTTGTGATAAATACTACAGTAAACTCATTGTTCTATATAAGTAACCATTCGACTATCACTGCATAGGATATACTCATAAAATTTTCTCTCTAATATTGCTAGCAAGTTAATGATGGTTAGTATTCAATTGAAAGTATAATTTCTAATTTTCGCTTTCCTGTAGTTAGTTTATCTGATATACCTTTGGTGGTTCTCATCGTTGATATGTTGTTTTCGTTTAGTATTCGTACTGAGTTGAAATCTGTAATTTTCAAGAAGTTGTAACACATATTTTAAGATTGAAATTGAAGGTTTCAACTTAATAGATCATCATAAATCTTAAACAAAAAAAATCTCAGTATTATAGGAATGACTAGTGATACACAATATCCATTTATTTAGTTATGTAAATAAGAGAAATTCATTACCACTTTCGATAATCCTATAGAGAAAATCAAATCAATTTGCTATTTAACAGATTCATACAGTTTCATATGGCTTATTAAAATAAGTAAAAAAACTAGATAGAGATATACTTACTTATTTACACATGTTACTCCCAATCGAGCATAGTCCGACGACCAGCATTCTCCAACCCACTCTGTCATGGTCTTTCCATTCTAATTCTATCTTATTGTTCATTCTTCTCATGTCTATCTCCATTTCTCAGCGTAATGTGTTCTTTAATCTTTCTCCCCCCTCTTTGGCTTTGAAAATTCCACGTGAGGGCTTGCCTTGTGACCTTTTCCTCATTGTATGTTCTGTTGAACTTATATTTAGACATACTATTATAGATTGTAATGAAATACCCCTCAAATTAAAGGCAAAACAAAAAT